GCTTTTGTTTCTCCTCAAAAGCACACTTTTTTTCTTCTAAAAGTTTGGCCAACCACTTTAACTTTGAAATTCGTGTCTAATGTCGGTTCATAAAATTTTGGGTTTGCTCGCAAAATTTTAGATTGTGGTTTAATGTGTAATAATTAACAAAATTTTATACCGTATTTTTAATATTTTCTCATAATATTTTTCGTTCGCTCAAAAAGGATTTTTAGATCTTGATTTAAAACATGAGAAATAAAAAGTTCTTTTACTAAACAGCTGAAACAAAAGAGGACAACCGACAAAAATTTAAGTCTTTTTGAGACAAAAAAACTTGGTTTATATTAAGTCTTGGATAACCATGTTAATGTTAACCATGTATAATTGAGGAATGGGTATTCATGGCCATTTAAAATGTTAAAATTAAAAAAATATTTTTTTTTAAATCTCTTATGTATAAAGGATAGATTTTTTATATATAAAAATAAATCTTTCATGTATAAAAAAAAAATTTATAAAACTAAAAATAAATTTGTAAATATCCACAAAACTATTGAACCTAACAAAATGCAACTCGTAAAGAAAGTCAGATGATACATTACTTGAATGGGGTGTGTGGACCATAAGAAAAGAAAAAAAGGTTCTTTTTTATTCTTTTGCTAAGGAAAGAGAAAAGTTGAGAAAATAGGTAGAGACTCTGGTCAATCAAATTAAACAAAGATACAATACTTGATCGGATTTTTTTCGTTCCTATACCATAATTTAAATTTATTTACCAAAATTTTCTAAACTTTTAAATTTACCCGCTATAACTGTATTTTCTTATAATTTATATACAATTCAATATTAGTACATTAAATTAAATGATTCAATTACGCCCTTTTCTTTTTTTCTCTCCTCTCCTCTCTCATTTTCTGCCATCCTTCTTCTGCTTTCATTTCTCCTTTTTCTTCTTCTACTGTCATCTCTCCCCTCTCCTCTCCTCTCCTCTCCTCTCTCCCTCTTCTTCTAGCGAAATAACTTAGTTTTCTCCATATCTATAGCAGCAATTAGGGGTGTTCAAAATCGAACCATAAACGATAACTGAACCGCAAAATTGGCTTAGTGCTTTATTGGTATTGGGATCGGATTAACGGAGGGTGAACGGATTGAAAATGGTTTGTTGGTTCGGGGACGGATTACTCAATTTTCTTATAGGATAAACTGTTAACCCGTTAAAAATATTATATCTATATTTCTACGCCTATGTATATAAAGTATCTATTATTAACCCTAAAGGCTGAAGCCTCATTCACTCCTTAGGAAACAACGTATATCCACAACACTTCTTAAGGTTGCTTTGTTTCAATGGTGATTGTTGTGTTAATGTTACTGGATATTGACAGTAATTTTCTTAAGGCTAATTTGTTTTAAGAGTGATTGGTATGTCAAATATGACATAAAGATGTGTTATTTGTTCAGTGGTGAAGCAACTTTGGTCATGAAATATTTGGACCGATACTTTGCTTTAGCCTTTATGAGGAGACTGTTAATACTGCCGAAGTTTCCCTGTTAGCAGCACTATAATTTTCAGTACATTTTGTGTGTTGAAAGTCATGAATGACTATAATTGTACTGATCTCACTTTCTTTTTTCATTCAGCACATGTCGCTTGTCCAACTGGAGTAATATGAATGAAGCAGCTTCTGGCTCGTTATTCCCTTTTCCAACTAATATACATTTCTTGGGGTCCAAACAATTAATCCACTTCCACTCAAAATTTTAGTGTCTACTGCCAGTCTGCCAGAAAGCATGATACATCTCTTAGTTACATTATGATTTGGAACTTCTAAAGCACCAAGGATTCTCAATTGAGATTAAAATACAGATCCATTGTTCTTAGATTTAGCCCATAAATCGACCTCATTTTCATTGTTTTCTCTTAGATTTAACCGATAAACCGACCGATAATTGCTAACCCGATACCGAACCGCCCGATATCTTATCGGTTGGCTAGCGAATTAATATATTTAAAAGTCGAAAACCGATAAGGCGAACCGTTAAGCGTAAATACCCGCCCGATCCGTCCAATAAGCAGCAATGGCGAGATAAAGGTAATTGAGGTAGTTGAAATTGGCAATAATCTTTGTAAACAACAAATTTGATAACAACTTACTACAACAACAACAACAACCCAGTATAATCTCACTAGTGGGGTCTGGGGAGGGTAGTGTGTACGCAGACTTTACCCCTACCCTGGGGTAGAGAGACTGTTTCCGATAGACCCTCGGCTCCCTCCCTCCAAGAACTACCCACCTTGCTTTGGGGTGACTCGAACTCACAACTTCTTGGTTGGAAGTGGAGGGTGCTTACCACTAGAGCAACCCACTCTTGTCACAATTGATTTTACTAATTTGTACAATTGATTTTTGGTTATCAAGCTGTCAAATTGTACCAAATTTATATGAATTTCAACAACAGACAAAAAGTCCAGTAATAAGTCCAGTAATATGAAATTTTGTGTGATCTTTGCATTCCAATCACCAAGTAATTTATACCAAATTCATACGAATTTAATAAACCTTAATTTGCATTCCAATCACCAAGCTGTCAAATTCCTTTATCTGGTTATCAAATTGGTTTCTTTTGTTGTACCAGCAGTTTGTCCACATATAGTATAACTTTTTGTAATACCAACAGTTTTGTCCACATATAATATAACGTTCATATAAATTTGATACAAATTTAATACATTCACAATATTATACTTCTTTAGAACAAATTTTATACAACAAATTATACAATATATAATTTATTTACAACTTATTTACAACCTTCATATAATATTTATATAATTTTAATACAATTACAACAACATACAACTTAAATACAATTTACTAATAATATAACTTTAATACAAATTTGATACATATATATAACTTTATGTAAATTAGAGTATTTATACCTTCAATACAAATTTCATATAACTATTCATATAGTATACAACTTATTTACAAATTTCAATACAATATTCAAATAAAAAATATAACTACAATATATGTTTCTATTTTCCAAGATTAGGCTTTGGGACATATGGCAATACACAACTAAATATTGTCAAATCACTGAAACAAAAGATAGGCGCTTTAAAGCAAAAGGAATATCAGCTCCTTTATGAGAACGACATGATCAAATAGGTTTAGAAACTGAAGAACTCAATCAAGGAATCTCAGAACAAATTTCATACAAGTATAATACAACTTTAATACTTCTTCTTCGAGTTTGAATCTGAAAATTCATCCAAAATCAACTATAATCTTCACCAAACACTCTCAAAATTGAGATATAAATTCCAAAGAATATTCTCGAAACACCCAATCAAAACAAATAATAATTTTAAAAAATTCGAATCCAAAATCAAAGCTTCGAAGCTTTTGATGGCTTTCAATGGCTTGCGGGTAGCGGAACGATTGGTTCGATGGTCATAAGCGATAACATCAAATCTATTATTGAATTCTCTGAAGAAGAAGAAGAAGAAGAAAAAAAGAAAAAGGAGATGAGAAAAGAGAAGTGAAGCAGAGATCCAAAGAAGAAAAAAGAGAGAGAGGGAGTGATGAAATGATAGATCTATGGAATTTGATTACCACATTAAAAGACAAGGATACTCATTTAAACTTGTATGTATATAACTAGTAAATTGTATATCAACATGTAAATAAGGTAAAACTTCAATATTGATGGTAAATAAATTTCAAAAGTAACATAGATAAGTAAAAATCTCTTACTTGAATGGTGTGATAGTAGGTTTTTTGTAATCTGTCCCTATTTAATCCTCTTTTGTCTTAGCGAGAACTTCTACATCTTTTTATATTTGAATTTTTTTTACTTTTAAATGTAGCATTTTAATCTTAACGACAAGTTCTTATAACCCTAAAGTGTCATGATGGTTTAAAATCATTAGTTCGAAGTATTCTCTTGAACGCACTAAAATTTTTCTTTTTTTCTTGAACTCGTGTCCCATACACCGTCATTGACTCATATAAAATGAAACAGGAGTATCACTCCCATAACTCATTGGAGACAGTTTAGCTCAAATATTAAAATAAGAGTCCAATGAAATAGGTCCGAATAGAAGAAGAAAAAGTATTATTTTTTTAAAGTTTAAACCTTTCCATTAATAAAAGTTAAAAACATTTTCCATTAGAAAAGTAGTTTCATAGTACCTTTAAAAAAATACAATACATAAACAAAATACTGATGATATATCTTATTCAGAAAGCGGGAATAATCTCCGAGCTACCGAAAATAAAAAGTACATTAGTACACGACGAAGAGAGCAATGTTCGCCGTTAAGTGAATAAAACAAACTTATTTTGACTGGACAAGTTTCAGTTATAATGTGTTTGTTTTCCTCCTATTTCTTTGCATTTCCTTTCCTGACCAAAATTAATCTAAACAGAAACAGTAAAAGGCCATATTCCTTTCCTCCCTTCTTATTCTTTCAATGCAAACACGGTAAATAGAATCTTTTAACATCAAAAAAATCCGCACCAGTCTGTGCCCACATCAACTATTCCAACGACTACTTGCTACCTCCTAAGATCATGGCCATTCTTCTATCACCTCATTGACTACTATAAACGGAGTTTTAGGCTTTTAGCTCTCCTTAATGGAAATAACTTGAGAAATGCTGACTTGGAACTTGGAATACCTAATCATCTACTTAATGAAGAAACGTCTTTTGGAACAATGACTTGAATATACAACTACCCCCACCGTGATTTACCATACATCTATATTCCTGCTTCACTTAATGACCTCCTAGTCCATGAGAAAATTCAATATAACAGCACTATAATCAATCTGGAGTCTATTGTAATAAAATCAAAGGAAGCAATAGTAAAGAATAATGAATGTGACGAGAATATAAGAAACAGTGAATCAGAGTTCGTAGGACGAGTTCAGACTTTATCACTACTTTCCAGCAAATTCAGACTAAAGGAAAATCTACAAGAAACTATACAGCTGCAACATGAGGATGGCCAAACAAAAATTCAATTGCAGAACTCGAGTAAATCAACGGATATATGTGCTTAAAATTCTTGTTCCAACAGGAAATAGCCAAAACTGCATATATCTAGAAACAGATAACTGACACATACTAGGTATATTAGTAAACTATGATGACAATCTCCTGCATCCAATTCAAAAGTCCGTCCCAAAAAAACAAAATCAAAATTCAGATGTTATGAAAGATAAAGAACTTTACACACATTTGTTGTTGACTATAAGAACAAAATCGTAGACCAAGGAACTTCTAACCATTAAAGTTAACAGGCACATCCTCCTGACTGTGCTTGTGACTGGGATGCATTCGCGTTGCTTGACTTGAGGTTGACATCGACCATGTCTTCTTGCTTAGCAGAAGATAATGTCTCCATTCCTGGCAATGCCGCGGCAATTTTTCTAAATAGGGGCTGCAGTTGTATATTAAGCACTATAAGCAACCAAAAGATACATAGGTAAAGGACCAAACTGAAAAACATTAACTTAATCATATCACAGTATTCTTTTTGTTTTGTGTGGGTATAACAGAGTAAATGGTGCACATATCATCATCCATCGATAACTTTACTTACTTTTATATTAAAGCCAGCCTTAGCACTGGTTTCAATAAACATGACATTTAGTTCACGAGCTTTTGCTTCTGCTTCCTCTATTGAAACTTGCCTATAATTCAGTCAGAGGAAGAATGCATGATAAGTATAGCATACTATGAAGATAATTAGAAATAATTAAAAAAAAATATATGCACCAATGAGAGACAGCACAACACATTGCACAAATATACAACCAGTCGAGTTGGCAGACTCCTCTTTGCTCATAAAAAAAGGTAAGTGTTAGCACCCTAAGCCTATCAGAAACCCATTCTCCAGCAAAAAACTGTAGCAGTTGTGGTATTTGTAACACAGATAAGCTTGCTTTGCCACTTCAGTTACAACCCCATGAAGCCAATGCACATTCCTCCTCTACCATTGAATAAGATGGGTGGAAAGTTAAGGACCTGTACAATCCCTGCTTCGATGTACTGCTAATGTTACGAAATTTTATCTTGTTCCCAAGGGGATAGTTGAAAGGCTGAGAAATAGGAATAATGCCCTGGCAATCCCAAGTTTGAATATCAGGATAACGCTCAGTATGAACCCATTTGCTCCAATATCCACAGGCACACTCTTACCACATACTTGTGCATATGAGTTGTAACAGGCTGCCTGGGAAAATAGTCGAGAAGTGCAAAAGCTGTCTGGAGGATTCGTTGAGGCCTCCAGAAGTCCTTGGAAGAGGAAAAATGAAGCATCTGGCAAATACGAGGTACACAGGGTGGATTTTTTCTTTTAAGGGTTGCCCACATAAAAATCTTGATTTTCTTTATTTATTTGCTCTCGATATTTTTTCTAGCATCTGCTGTGAATAGTAATAGTCAATAGTACCATGTGAATAGTATCTTACATGTGAATACTAACCCGTAAGTATGAACCACATTATACATATACAAAATAACCAAATGTTCATATACCATAAGTATGAATAATATAGCATATGTATTGATATAGTATGTATAAACATAACTTGTACATATCAACAATACTCATACATAACAACCTCGGCAAAGAATTATTGCAATACTCTGATACGACTTTTTGGGACCCACGGAATACCCCACATATATCAATATTACTCCCTCTATTCCCATTTTTATGACGGTTGGTGTCCCTCTGTTCCATTTTATACAACACTCTTTCATTTTTAATATGTGCTAAAAGAATGACACATTTCCCTATCTAGAAACTCTTTCATATTAAACTTCTCATTTTACTTTTAATGACATAATTTTATCATCATAGAAATAGCATGATATGTTTACGAGAAGTTCTAAAGGTACTTTTGGTATACGACAAATGTCTTTCTTTCTTAAACTCCATGCCCAGTCAAACATCGTCATATAAAACGAAAAGAGGGAAGTAAAATAACAAGAATAAAAGGAAAATATTTAGGTGGAAAATTTTTTACTAGGGGATCTACAGATCTTGAGAAGCAAAAAAATATCACTAGAGTAAAATTTTATGGATAATATAGCAGCAAAGTCAATAAACTAGTTTTTGCAACAAGAAAGTCACTCAACATTGCCTAAATATCATAGAAAGTCATTAAACAATTTTTATGTAACTAAAAAGTCACTCAACTTTGTCAGTATCATCGAAAATGCCTCTATTTCCTCCTAGTGATTTTCTATGATACTCGGGCGAATTTGACTGCCCTTATGGTTACAAAAAGTAGTTTACTGTCATTCGTAATACTCACATAAAGTTGAGTGACTTTTTCATTACAACAATCAGTGTAGAAACTTTGTGCAATAAAGTGAAAGTCGAGTGAATATCCATGAAATTAACCCGAAAATTTAACTTTTCGAAGTCTCGACTATCACAAAGTCCTTGAGTAACTCACCCACACAAAAAAAGAAAACTCCGATGAGTTGTACCCACTAAGAGAGTTTTTTAACGCCCCAAACTTTGAAAAAAATTAGAAAACGGGGGGAAGAGGGGAGGGGGGGAAGGTTGGCTGATGTCATGCGCGTGCCGTTAGCAAAGATATTTCTCTGCTTATAAAAGAGGCATTCCCTTCTCATTTTTCTCTTCTTCCTCATCGAAATAAAATATTTATATAAACACACGTTGACAAAGGCATTATTGTAGAACAATGAAAATCTTATCTTGTCTTATTACTTTGATTGCTCCTTTAAGCTGACTCTCCACTTAAGGCTGAGTAAATTTTGTTTAGAACTAGCTCCAATAAAGCTAAGTCTTTTCTTGTCTTGTTTGGTGTCTTTGTTCGAACCCTTTACGTTTTTCGCACTTTTCCATTGTTTCCAGTGATTATTATTCACTAGGTGTCTCTGACCCCAACAATCTTGAATCATAACTTTTGAGAAACAAATAATGTCTGTAGACATAGGCAAACGCCGAACAACACCAAATACCCACGAGGAGAACAACTTGAGGAGCTGAAATAATTGAATCAAAAGACTCAAGCTTAGAAGAGGTTCTCAATAGATCAAGCAAGACTAACCACACTCATAAAACTCTAAGTAGGTGCATTAGACAAAAAAGGGGGAGAGAGATGAGCAAAGAAGGCAATGGGAGTAAGAAATGCACTTACTCAGCCGTTCTCCAACCTTTAACTATCACTTTCTTCTCTCAACTACATTCCCAAAGCAAGTGAAAGGTATACAATTTTCGTGGAAGTATGAATTACAAAAGATTATCATAGCAATATGCTAATGTGAGAGTCTATCAACGGAAGAGATCCTAGCACTCATAAATGCAAGATGCACAAGATATAAAATTCTCCTTTAACTAGTAAGGACCTCAACTAACTCATTACTAAGGCCAAAAGACTTCCCAAGAGCGCTTATCATAGAAGTACCCTATTTTACTTCAAGCTACATATTTTGTTTCTTGACCTAACCATGGGCTTGTTAAGCAACTATTATTATCGAGTGTCGGTTGGTCCATGCTCCATCCAAGGATCTCTAACCTTTTCTCACAGTAGCCATTATACTGAGTTTGCTCTGTAAGAAATATTAAGAATATTGTACATGATATTGTGTATCAATGAGAATTAATCAGAATTAATTAGATTCATTCATTCCTATAAAAGCACTTCTACATTAACTATTCAAATTCAGCAGCTTGAGCGAATAATCAAGCTGAGTTTTCAATCAATTCTTCATTGTCTTATTTTTTCACACGGTATCAGAGCAAATCCATCTATTCATAATTTATCCAATGATGGGCCCGATGTTGTATAGTCCACGCTTCAGATGTCCAACTTTGGGCATGCCGGGGGTGTTAAATGTCTCCCATTAATGGAGGAAATGGGATATTGTCTTCTATATGGTCTAGGGAAATCCTCAGCTTATGAGTTGGCTTTCGAGGTTGAGTAAGATACAACGTCTATTTTATTAACATGTTCCTCATAATTAGGATAAGTCGAATGCCCAACCCCAAGTATATTGTATCATTAATGGTAAATAAGAACTTTCATCTAAATCTAAGCAAAATTACTCACATTAACCCGGACAAAGGTGCATTCACTTCATGATATGGCTTTACAAAAATGAAGTTAAACTAATTAAGGACCAAAAGTCATTACAGTTCATGGTGAAAATAAACCCATGTAGTTAACAAGCAAAATTCTCGCTTTTTGTTGGTAGTAGATTTTTATGACTAACCGTTGTTTCTTTTATTGTTGACCACCTTACTATCTGGTTATTTTTATTCTGTTTTTATATGGCTTTTTGGTATTGTCCCTTCTTATCTATATTTTCATTAATGTGGTGTTTATGCTTTCCTGAGCCAAGAGTCTGTTGGAAACAGCCTCTCTATCCTCACAAGGTTGGGGTAAGGTCTGCGTACACACTACCATCCCCAAACCCCACTGTGTGGGATATTATTGGGTATGTTGTTGTAGCTAACAAGCGAAACTAGATTATGTTTATTCAGAACAATGCATTATATTGTACAAGTTTCAATTCAATATCTTTTTCTAAGACAAACGTTACATTATAAAGAAAATTTCATGATAGTTGCTAACTAAGTTGCTCGGACACAGGTGCGGGCGTTCGACATGGGTGCGGATCTAGAGGTCGGATCCTTCGAGATGTAAATTCTAAGATTCGGGGATACGGATCCTAGTACGGATATGGGTGCGGAGATCCGGCTAAAAATAATTCAAAAAAATAAAAATATTTCTAAACTTACGTATAGCTTGTAAAGTATGGATTTCCTTTTTATTTTCAAGTTGTAGATAAGTAAAGGATTGATTTTCTAAATAAGGTATATTATTTTGTTCAAATTTACCTTAGTTTTGATTCTGATTTTGGGAATCAAATTGTATCTCGTCTCGAATTTTTCCGTCCGTCGTGGTCAAAGTACCCAAAATTGTTTGACCAGATTCGGTACGGACTAGTGTCGTGTCGACACGGGAGTGGCACCTAAACTGCCGTGTCGGAGCAACTTAGGTTGCTAATGAGCTAATTGTGCAAATACTCCTATCCAAGCACATATCAGAATATAGAAAAAACATATTTTGAATGTAAAAGAGAAGAATGTGCAGAACTAAATTAACAATGGCTTCTCTAAGCTATGAACCAATATCTACTTCGATAAATTGATCATAAGTTCTTCTACTCAACTTAAAAAGTGATGAAATATATTTCTCCATAAATAGTAATATTACCAAGTTGGCATAGATGAGTTAGTTGCACAAATTGGCTATGCATAATGCAATGATGCTATATTTTCCAAATCAGAAATCTTATTTCTCTAGGTAGAAGTTTAAGCACTGCAAGTGTGAGTTATAGGACTCGTTGCCTAAAGATTTGCATGTCTCCCTTTTATTTTATCTCCTTGCCTTTACTTTTGGTTGGGGAGAATTGTGGCTTCAAAGACATTTATCTTTCCATAATACCAACATACATCCCCCTAAATGACAAACTCAAAGCCATATGACCATTCAGATGAAATAGCAAAACAAGAAGGTGAATTTCACCCTCATTGGTTCTCAAACAGAGCCCACCCACCACCACCGCCCTCGCCCCAAAAAAACAGAGAAGGAAATGAACTTTATGGCTACCTTTTTTCAACAAGATCAGTTTTGTTACCAACAAGCACAATGATAACGTCACTGCCGCGCTCAGTACGAACCTCCTCAATCCACTTCGAGGTGTTTAAGAAGGACTGCCTACCTGTAATCAGCAAGAAAAATAAAGCCTGTGAATTAGTGACAGAAAGTCAAGCCAATACCATGAAAATCACATAACATCAACCATAAGCTGGATTAGAAACACCAAGTCCATTTAAGATAAACTGGATAGACACTTTTGTACCACACCACAGTATTAACATCGGAAGAAGGCATACTTGCAACATCATAAACAATGACAGCAACAGAGGAGTCCCTAATATAGCTTGGTATAAGACTCCGAAATCTCTCTTGCCCCGCAGTGTCCCTATAAAGACAACATGAAAGGGTTAATTTTTACTTTTTTAGACCACTTAAATTGTACATCAAATAAAGAATCTAGCATAAAATGATTCCTAGAAAGAAGCTTGGCAATAATAGAACATTTCCTAATCAGCGCCAAATAGGCCAAATAAAATTGATTACCATGAAACTAGCTTATAACGGCATTTCGTCAAGTTAGTCATTTCATATTATGGCCAGAGTTCTAAAAATATGATAATTAAACAAGAAAGAACAACTTAATCTAAGCTTTCATCTTAAAACTGGGTGAGATTTCTTTTCTTATGTGCGTGCCTTTTTTTTTTCGGGGGGGGGGGGGGGGGATCTAAACAAGAGCACTTTATGTGAAAGTACCTACTAACATGATCTGTTTTAGCAAGAAATCTAGGCTGATTGATGCTTTATCTAGATAAATGTTAACGATCCAAATGAATAAGAACAAGGAGAAATATCAAACTCCTCGCAGACTATCTTATTCTACCTACTTTTTATTGTGGTCCATTCCCAAAAAAGACTCAACTCTTTTCACCACCGTATTAAACAAGAAGACTGAACTCTTTCTTAAGATGGAAAACTTATCATCTTAAAATTCAGATATTTATATTCCCTCCATCCCAAATTGTTGGAGCTAGTTAACTTCACACAGATTAATAGAAAAAGTTGAGTTATTATATTTAAGTTTGATTGAAATATCTTATATTATTAATTAAGAACAATAATTTATAAAGTAGTTTTCTTTATGTTTATCCGACCTTCCGAATATAGTTGAATTTTCCATCATCCCAAGAAGGTAATTTCTTGGGATGACGTAAGAATTTCATACTCCTATAATACCATGTACTAACTCTGGTTTATATTACTTTGTACCATGTTCACATATTCCAACTATTATTACCAGACATTTCTTCCAACCTTAGATGTAATTACATATAAAACCTTCTTTTTCTCTCAATCCTCTTGGAAAGTCAATAGAACATGATAGCATGGAGGGAAAGATGTATACTTTCTTTCTTTTTTTTCTTGTATCATTTTCTTTCTGAAATATGGTAACCCTTTCTATCACATTGTACAAGTCTATAAGACCTGTATTAACAATTTTAAATACTCAAGAGCAGTCATACTTATTAAAGATAGAAATAGTGCAATTTTATTCTTACCAAAGTTGCAATCGTACTGTACGATCTTCAAGATACATTGTCTTTGACAGGAAGTCAATACCAATTGTAGCCTGAATATAAAGTTGAATGAAAAGAGAGTGAGAAATCAGAGATTTAGAGATTTTATTTTCTGATCGGTAGATTGAGAAATCAAGGATTTTGGCCCAATGGATATATTATAGTGGAAAAGGAGAAACATGGGTTACATGTCTAGATAACAAAGAAAACTATTTTCCAATCAAATCACGAAAAAGCAAACCAAGCATTAAAATATAAAGGCTCAACAGTGTGATAGTATTCCCAACTAGGAATATAAAGACAAAGAAAAACCAAATGTAAGAAGCTATAACTCAATTTGAAATTTCGACGAATTCTTCTGATCTGCATAGGCAGCAAATTCAAAAAGTAATTGAATATTCCTTATCAAGACAAGGTGAACGGAAGTAGGCGAGATTTTAGGCTTGATACACGTATTTAAAAAAAAACAGTTTGAGCAGCTCTGTAAGACTAGTCCCAGGGGGGAAGCTACTTTGTTAAGTATTACACGGTGTAACTGGTTCACTGTCATAAACTGCTTTCCAGGCATAAAAGTTCAGAATCCGACAGTCCACATTGTCCATAGACATACAGAAAGGAGCAAAAGCTATTTGTGGTATGATATACTGAAGTGAGGATATGACAGCATAAATACATGCTGTGTTGATTTTTCCTATCAGTGTGCTGCTTCTAAAACATACATTTGTACAACTAATGGCAAAGGAAAAGCAAGATCACTTCAATTTTTCATTTGTACCGGGAATCGTAGAGATCAGTAAAATACTAGAGTAGAGATTGAATTACTAGAATAGAGATTGGATTACCTTCGTATAGATTGGATTACTTCAGTAGAGATTGAATCACCTTAGCAACGGTTGAATTATTCGCACAAAAGTCTTCCTACAAGGGGGTGTTGGAGGCTCACAAAAGGCGTCCCTCGCCACAACTAGGCCGTCACCAGCGAACTCAGAAAACTTTCGCACTCCTAATGCAATAACTACTAAAGCAATCTTTCTCAACTACTAAAGAAATCTTTCTAAATTACTAGAGTATTCTTCCTCCACTACTAAAGTATTTTGAGACTCTACACTCAAATATAAACCAATCATATCCCCATATTTTGAGGAAGAAACTATAAGAGACTTAGCTAGAAGAAGACATTTTATTACACAAGAGTTTTTACAAAGAACTAGGTTGGAAATAAGATCCTCTCCAGCTACAACAAGGGCTCCTATTTATAGGAGATGGAAAGCTAGTACATGTACTTACCTTATTTAATTACATAGTACAAGTGGCATAAAACAAGTACAACAAATATAAAAGTCTTACAATGTACAACACTTATTTGGCTAATAGACAAAGCATAAAAGCATGATCATAAACTAGAAAACAAATTGCATGGCTTTGGGTTTTGGTATTGGTTTGGACAAGACATGGATGAGGGCAAAGGGACCCATGAATAGTACTTGCATGGCATTGGGTTTGGGTAAATTTATGTCTTGACATGGATGACTTTTCTTTGATGACATGAGGGACCCTTGAATAGTATTTGCATGGCATAGAACTTGGGGAAATTTATGGCTTGACATGAATGACTTTTCTTTGATGACATGAGGGACCCTTGAATAGTATTTGCATGGCATAGAACTTGGGGAAATTTATGGCTTGACATGAATGACTTTTCTTTGATGACATGAGGGACCCTTGAATAGTACTTATATGGCATTGAACTTTGGGAAATTTATGGCAATACATGGATAGGCAACTTTATTGATATATGTTTGGATTTTTATGGTAACATTTAGTGGGTTAAAGATGAAAAACTTGTGCAGATTTTTTGTTTTTCCATGGTAATTTCTTGTGGGGTAGAGTGGTGAACAGGATAAAAGAAGACATGGATGAGGGCAAAGGGACCCATGAATAGTACTTGCATGGCATTAGGTTTGGGTAAATTTATGGCTTGACATGGATGACATTTCTTTGATGACATGAGGGACCCTTGAATAGTATTTGCATGGCATAGAACTTGGGGAAATTTATGGCTTGACATGAATGACTTTTCTTTGATGACATGAGGGACCCTTGAATAGTATTTGCATGGCATAGAACTTGGGGAAATTTATGGCTTGACATGAATGACTTTTCTTTGATGACATGAGGGACCCTTGAATAGTATTTGCATGGCATAGAACTTGGGGAAATTTATGGCTTGACATGAATGACTTTTCTTTGATGACATGAGGGACCCTTGAATAGTACTTGTATGGCATTGAACTTTGGGAAATTTATGGCAATACATGGATAGGCAACTTTATTGATATATGTTTGGATTTTTATGGTAACTTTTAGTGGGTTAAAGGTGAAAAACTTGTGCAAATTTTTTGTTTTTCCATTGTAATTTCTTGTGGGGTAGAGTGGTGAACACGATAAAGAAGGTGTGCATACTATTATGTCTTCAAATGGGTACTTACCTAGGGGGTTAAGAGGTGAAAATGGTTTAAGACACTTGTGCAGTTTTTTGGTTTGGAAACGGGGGGAATTATGAAGGGGAAGTTGGCTAAAAAGGTTTAGAAGGCTTATGCAAATTATTTTCTTGCTCATGATTATGCATTGTGCTTGTCTTTTAACCCTTCTAGCCTTCGCTTTTCAGCTCTTGTGAAATATCTCTTTGCGTGCGGATGATCTTCTTCTATAATTCCTGCTCTTTTACCTTCTTCTGCGACGAAGTACCGGTATCCCCATTTAAATTGATCTTAGCAATTTCTGCTGGATCAATGTCATAGGGGTCTGGTGAGTAGCATTTCCTTGTATTCCTTAAGTGTTGTCTTAACATTTCGTCAATGGGGTGAGTGGAAGAATAATTCCAACTTCCTTTCTCTCTGGCCATATCTCCTCCGGAAGGCATTTATTTTGTTGAAAAATGAGCCTCTGAGCTTCGATGTACTCTTTTTCCATTGCTAGGATTGTGACTGGATAATGAAACCAAAAGGACGTCGTAGGCATCACCTATATAGTTCTTTTGATCACACTAAATGGCCTGTGGAACATAAATATTTTGAATCCACGACAATGAAAATGATGAACCCGATATTTTTGAGGTTTAAACCACAACAAAAATATTTTTAGGAAAGGTTCAATATTGTCAAAGTCTCGAAAATCACGACACTTGAACTCCATGAGAATGTGGTATTGATGGCAGAGATACCAAAAGAACCATAAGAGTTCCTGTGGAAAATTCTTGGCATGCGCTATGAACACTTGGAAAAATGGATATTCCGGATTAATACCAAAAGGTGCAAGTATGGAACCTTTGTAGTTTCAAAAAACCTAGAGTTCATAAAAACCCCTCCCGTCTAATAAGATGGACAGATCAAGAGGATCCGAAAAATCAAACAAACTCCGGCGGGTGATGTAATGATGAAGAACCTGGGATTTATTCTTCTTGTGCTTTTGTTGCAGAAACCTTTTGAAAAATTCACCTGGCCTTGAAAGGGAATCAGCAAGAACATTATCTTTCCCTTTAAAGTGCTTGACATGAAAGTTGTATGGAGAGAACCATTGAGCCCATCTGGGAATTTGCGGATTCGGAATGACCTTTGGATTCCACTGGATCATCCTCGAAAAAACCTTCATATCGATCTTAATAAGAAACTCTGAATGAATTAGGAAAAAATTAACTTTTTAATCTCATTTTCACTGCAAGAATCTCCTTAAAAGTGGAATGATAGTCTTGCTCAGCATCCTTGAATCTTCCACTAGCGTAACCACATATTTTTCTCTGGCCTTTAACTTCTTCAAATAAAATTGCGCTCCAATATTCATTGCTGGCATCTGTTTGCAATATTTTCTTTCCATTGGAGGGAATGTACAAAGATTTGACACTTTGGGACACCTCTTTTATTTTTCTAACTGCATTATTTTGTTCCTTGCCCCATGGCTGGCATTTTGCTTCAATATTTTTGTGAGAGGAGAAATATATGTAGAAACATTAGGAATAAAATCTCTCATATAATTTATTATTCCCCAAAATTGCTGGATTTGCATCGTTATGAACCCAGTATTAGGGAACTTAAGAAGTTCCCCAGAAATATGAGGACCTGGGATATATTCTCCATGGGAAAAATGCATGTGGAATATCAGGTGCCATTAAACACAGTCCTGGGAAAGCATCTATCTATAGTGATAGTGATCCATCGTCTTGACTTGAGTCTCCACCACATCTATTTCCTGCCCGCTTGTAGCGGTTGTTTAGGCTAGGCCGGTTAGAACCTCTCTGCAGTTCTCGATTCTGATTGAACTAGGGAGGATCGGTATTGCTGGGGGAGATTGTTCTTCCTCAGCTGACTTGTTAATTATGGTTTCTTGAAGGTATCAATTTTTTTTTTTTGCAGAAACCATTTTTTTGCTGAAAGCATAGATGCCATTTTTTGGCTGAAAGCATGATGCCATTATTTCACACTAAAGATGCAAAATGATTGAGCACATTTATGTGCTCCTCCCAAGTATCACTGAATAGTAAAATATCATCAATATAAACAGGTGATGTGTGGAGGATGGGCTTAAATATTTTTATCATTGCCTTTTGAAACAAAGATGGAGCAGTTTTTAAACCGAAAGGCATGACTTTCCACAGAAAATGGTGATCGGGAATGCAAAAACCAGTTTTTTCCCTATCTTCTGGGTGGATTCCCAATTGCCAAAAGCCTGATTTAAGATCAAACTTAGAAAAATATTTTGCTTTGGCAAGTTGGGAGAAAAGGGTGAGCTTATTTGGGATGGGAAACTTGTCATCCAAAAGAAAATAATTGAGTGGTTGATAATTAATTACCGATCTCAATTTATCTCTTGTTTGCTCGGCTCTTTTGTTGACATAAAATGTTTCGCACACCCATTGTGAATTTGATGGCTCAATGAGATCAAAATCCACTAGCTCCTGACACTCCTTTTTGGTAAGCTGAGGGTGGTCGGGATTCATACCAGAGTGACTTGCTTTTATAAGATTGATATTCTCATTTTTCTTGAAAGGCAGCTTGATGAAGAACTCTTCATTTTTCCATAAAGGATTGTCACATTTGGTTAAGAATTCAGTGTGAGATTCTGCACAGGAGTGTAGTGTGATTTGTGCTTCAATTTCCTAGACTTGATCTTCTTCTGTGAGCTGGAACAATCTCGTGACTGCACAATATGGCTTGAATAGCTTTTTAAATGTTATCCCATTAGCTTTGATCTGGAGTTTGTCCTGCAAAACCTTGTAAATGGCAAAACCAATAATCAAATCCTTACTTGGGACATCTCACCCAATCAATTTGGTCATGTACTTCAGTCATAGGAAGAATTCAATGGTGAACGGGTGCTTGGTAATGACAGTTGTGGTCAGAATTCTATTTGAGGCGGTGTTGAATTTCTTGAAGTACGGCACCCAATACCCAACTGGAAAGACCGCAAGATAAATCAGTTAGGAGGTTGCTCCCGTGTCAAAGAAAGTTGTGACATGTGTTGGTTTGTCCCACTTGGATGCATAGACTTTGATTTCTGCTTGCGGGATCACCGTGATGTTGTGGGTCTCTTTTTCACCTTTGGCTTTGGTTCTGAATTGGTAATGATCATCATCATATTCCACATAAACATCTAGGGAAAAGAGAGTCTTTTATGTGGGCTCATCTTCAAGTGAGAAAACTGATTCAATATCGTCATCCTCACTGAAATGAACGCCTGTGTAATCTGTAATTTCAGAGAGAAGTCTAATAGACCGATTGGACTGCGGGCAGTTCTGCGCAAAACGTCCTATTTTATTACAAATAAAACGGGCTCTATTTCTCCTTCAATTGTCCGGCCTTCTTCTTCTGAAGTATTTTGTTTTCCTTCTAAACCTGGACTTGTCGACTGAGAATTTTGGCAACCTAAATTTTTTGAACTTCTTCCTAGGCGCCTGGCATGAGCAATCTTTCTTTCCTGTGATTAAATCTGACCTGTGGTAAGCTCTATCAGGTGCAGCATCATTCTTCATTATCTGTTTCAGAGCAAATTTTTTTGCACAGATATCATCAAGAGCATAAAAATGGCTTGCCTAATATAACCAATATTTGAAGCAGTTATTGACTGGTATTTATCTTCTATGATGGTCATGATTCGACCGGCCAACATCTTTGGTAGGGATGAAAACAAATGCTTGTTTTAGATCGATATCCCCATCCAGCTCAAAAAAGTTTTTTGCCATTTTCTGAAAATGTTTGTCAATGATATCTCTATCCAAAGAGAGGCATTTCATTTCAAAAAGTTGTCTTCGAAGTTTTTCATGCCTTTGGCCAGCATCGCCACAGAAAACTTCATGCAAGATTCTAATGTTAAAAGCAAAATCTTGGGAAGTAAGGAAAACATTTTTGTCCTACAACCCAAGTGAATTCCACCGGTCTCGAAGAATACCTAAGAGGCGAGAAGTGAATTCTGATAGAATTATGTACTTTTCTCGCTTTGTCAAATTCTTGTCACCATCCAAGTGTAGAAATCTTGGATTCTTTGAGGCCATTTTAAGACTTTTATCTCATCTAAGGTAAAGGTATGGAAACCAATACTTACTTGTTTGCCTGTGGCAGAATCATATCTCCTTTTTGGAATGGGCTTATCAGTCATCCTATCTTGATCATCGTCAACTTCGGATACCTCTGGCTCCCTGGATGATTCATGAAAATGGGAGGAACTTCCCTTCCATAATTTTCCTTTTTTTTCCAAACCAAAAAACAGCACGAGTGTCTTAAAATCATTTTCATCTCTTAACTCCCTAGGTAAGTAAGTACCCATTTGAAGACATAAAAGTATGCACACCTTCTTTATCTTGTTCACCACTCTACCCCACAAGAAATTACCGTGGAAAAACAAAAAATCTGCACAAGTTTTAATCTTTAACCCACCAAAAGTTACCATAAAAATCCAAAAATATATCAATAAAGTTGCATACCCATGTCTTGCCATAAAGTTCCCAAGTTCAATGCCATGCAAGTACTATTCAAGGATCCCTCATGTCATTAAAGAAAAGTCATTCATGTCAAGCCATAAATTTCCCCAAGTTCTATGCCATGTAAATACTATTCAAGGGTCCCTCATGTCATCAAAGAAAAGTCATCCATGTCAAGGCATAAATTTATCCAAACTCAATGCCATGCAAATACTATTCATGGGTCCCTTTTCCATCATCCATGTCTTGTCCAAACCAATACCAAAATCCAAGGCCATAAAATTTATTTTCTAGTTCATGATTATGCTTTTATGCTTTGTCTATTAGCCAAATAAGTGTCTACATTATAAGACTTTTATGTTTGTTGTATTTGTTTTATGCCACTTGTACTATGTAATTAAATAAGGGTACTACATGTACTAGCTTTCCATCTCCTATAAATATGAGCCTTTGTTGTAGTTGACGAGCATCTCATTTCCAACCTAGTTCTCTTGTAAAAACACTTTTGTAATAAAATGTCTTCTTCTAGCTAAGTCTCTTATAGTTTCTTCCTCCAAAATATGGGGATATGACTGGTTTATATTTGAGTGTAGAGTCACTTCAATTTTGTAGTTGTACATAAGCAAAGTATAGGAAAATGGATTTACTCTTTCTATTTCTAACCACCATGGAAATTGAACTACATATGGTAGAAAACCGTGTGAATCATCAATAAAATGCGCCAACTGCTCTTGGATTTTTATTAACATTGGATGGATTCAAACTTTGCTTGTCACGCTCACATATTGGAAGGCTAAATTTGTTTCAACTCATCAAGAGCTCCAATTTTCTAAAAGCAACATAATCCAAATAATATTTCGGAAACACAAACAAGGCCTATAATATGATCAGCGAAACATCGGGAAACATCTAACATATCTCTTCTCTAATTCTCTCTAAGCAAATTATACATGCTTATGTAAGTGTACATGCACTTTCTAGACCATTATTTTCTACTGTTTTACAACTTATCTTCTCTGTATTATACCAATTTTATCATAACATTATCCTAAAACTTCATTCTCAAATTGAAAATAGAACTTCTATGTCCGATTTTATGCACACTTTCCTTTTCAGTCTATCCCAAAAGAATGATACTTTTCTACATTTAGAAACAATATAGTTTTAAACTTCTCATTTTACCCTTAATTGAGATGATTTACGGCCACGCAAATGTCTATAGCATGTTTTAGTCCATAAGTTTCAAAACTTTTCCTCTTTCTTAAACCGAGTGTCCAATCAAATACTGCAACATAAATTGGGACAGAGTGAGTGAATCTCTAAGATATTAATTAAAGAGACACTTCTTGCTACTCTCTCTAGTCCGTCCATCTATTTGAACCTTTGAATATAATGTAAAAAGGTAATAGCAAACTGAACTAAAGAACAAGACAAACCACAACAATGAAAAACTAAATATCACTAACAAGAAGCAGAAGAGAGAGAAAATTACAAAAGAAGCAGATCTATTAAAACAGGCAATGATAATATGTATTAAGCATGCTATTGAGTATGAAAAAATCCTTTTAACCTGATAAGTATTGTCGAATTTATCATACATAAATCGCGTGATAATACTGGTTTTACCGACAGATTGATCTCCTAAGAAAACGAGCTTATACTTTGCAAGCGCCGAAACCGGAGCCATCTATCGATCTTTCGAAATAACCTGATAACGGATCCGATCAGGATTTTCCGACGGTTTTATGAGAGATCTCGCCGGAAAGTAATCGGAGAAAGCAAAAGTTGGATTTGAGAGAGAAAAGAAATTGTAGTTTTGTATGAGGGAGCGCGTGAGGTGTTTTGACGAAACAAATTTGAAACGGAGTTGACGGCAAGGGTGTTGAAAACAAAAAAGAAGTACCGAAAACCGAATGAACCACAGCCAAATCAAATCAACGTTTGCATCACTTTTAGGCCTCATTTATTTTTATTTTTAAGATTAACACGTCTGAATATGAATACACATCTGAATATCAAGATGTGTATTAAGATTAACATATTTGAATCTGAATACACGTCAATATTAAGATATGTATGAAGATCTGAATAGTATATGATTAAGAGTATTTGATTTTTAACATCTGAATGTACAAAATTTATCTTTATTTGAAAATTAATAAACATATAATTCAAATAAAATACTAATTAATCTAATATTTTATCAATAAAATATATAATTTTTTTAAAAAAATATGATAGTTGTTTGTGGTGATGGCTAATGGTGGTGCTTGTAAATGCCGACTAGAGGCGGTGGTTGGTGATAATTTTGGTTGATGATGGTGGTTCAGGGTATTAGCTAGTGGTGATTGGTAGTGGTGGCGATTATTATTGAGGATAGTGGTGGTGGTTGGTGATAATTAATAATGGCGGGTGGTGGTGGTAGTTATGATTGAGGAAGATGGCGGTGGGTGATGGTAGTTTATAATGATGGGCAGTGCAAGCTATGATTGTTGATGGTGATGGGGTGGCTAGTTGTGGTAGTTGAGGTGGATGAGTGTTGGTTGTGGTTGAAAATGATGGTGGTGGGAATGGTAGATGGTGATAGTCGATAATAGCGGCGGCTATAATTGAGGATGATGGTGGTGGTGGTGGTTGAGTATGGTGGTGGTGGGTGGTATGGTGGTAGTTGATAATGGTAGGCGGTGGCGACAGTTAATAATGAATATGGATGATAGCATCTTAATGAAATTAAGTCTCTATTATAGATCTTAATCATACAGACCTATTCAGACCCATTAAGTGGTTGTAAAGTAAAAAAAACAAACGCACTTAATTATTAAGATCTGAATAATTTGGATACAGACTTGAAAAACAAACGCACTTAATTATTAAGATCTGAATAATTTGGATACAGACTTGAAAAACAAACGCACTTAATGTCTGAGACCTCAATAATTAAGATTCAGACCTCCATTAAGTGCAAACAAATGAGGCCTTAAGCTGGTAAAGTGTTCAAATAGGGATTTTAATTCCCATGTAATTGTTGTACTTCAGTTTTGATTCTTAAATTATTCAACGTAATACATTTAGCTTAAAAGGTGTTAATCGGGCCGGGCCGGGCCACTAACAACCTAGTTCGACCCGATTCAGTCCGGTTTGGTAAGGGGTGGGACGGGTTGGCTAGGGTAGGGAGGTTGTGTCGGATGGGGTCGGGCCTTTTTTGGCTACCGGTGCACCGAAACCCGGCTAGCCCGCTAACCCGTTCAAGGGTTTTAACCGTGTTTCAGCCCGGTCCAACCCAGTTTATGTTGTAAATTTATTTTTTTTTTAAATTTTGACCGTTGCCAATGGTCAAAATCAAAAATGGTCGTTGGGCAATGGCTATTTTTTATACTTTTAGCCATTTCAGCCTATCCCCTTACTAAAATAGCCCCTCCATCCCCTAATAATTGATAAATTACATTCTTAGCCTTTTAATAACTATAAATAGCCCCCATCTTCTTCATTTTTCTCACAATTTGCTCTCTTCTTCTACTTTAATTCTCTCTCAATTCCTTTTTGATTATTGAATTGCTTATTGCTCTCAAGTTCTCAAACAACAACAACAACAACAATAACCCAGTATAATCCTACTAGTGGGGTCTGGGGAGGGTAGTTTGTACGCAGACCTTACCCCTACCCTAAGGTAGAGAGGCTGTTTCCGATAGACCCTTGGCTCCCTCCCTCCAAGAACTCCCCACCTTGCTCTTGGGGTGAGTCGAACTCACAACCTCTTGGTTGGAAGTGAAGGGTGCTCACCACTAGAGCAACCCACTCTCAAATTCTCAATTAATTAATATTTCAAGTTTTATCAATTATTTACGCTAGCCACTATAAAATTATAATTATCAAGTGAAGTGTGGTTACTATTTTTGTTAGGTTCAAGTTAAATCATGCCTCGTGCTTCTAGAGTGCGTTCACATGTTTGGGAACACTTTGAGGTGATAGAAGAAAATGAAAAAGTTCGTAAAGTAGAGTGCAAGAACTATGGTCGGATCTTTAATATTCATCGAAAGTGAGACGGCACAACTGATTTAGAGAGGCATATCAAGGGTTGTCTTGAACGTCTTCCAGGATTTCGTATTTAAGTTGATTTGAGACAATTTGTGTTATTTTGAATTTGTTAGACTTATTTAAGCTTGATGTGTTAGTTTATAAGACAAGTTAATTTGAAGTATTATTATGCAATGAAAATATGAAATGAAAGCCTTTGAACTTTGATCCTTACATATTGGTCTTATTAAATAATTTTATATAGCCACTTAATTTCAATTTTTAAATTCAAATTTCAAATTTACAACTTTAAACTTTAAAGTTTAAAAGTTTAATTTTATGCCTTAAAATACTTATTTTATTATTTAAAAGTTTGCAAGCACTTAAGTAACAATTATATTGAACAAAGAAACACAATACACACACACACACAAAAAAAATAACTCGGCCCGATCCGGCCCCGATAATTCCGAACCCCGACGGGCCCACCAAAACCCGTAATATCTCAGCCCACTACCAGCCTGGAATCCCAACCCACTAACCGGACGAGCTATTTTTTCTCATGTCCAGGTCCAGCCCATCCGGTAAACACCCTTAATTTAACTTTGACTTAATTTTATTTGACCAGTCTTTTTAAAAAGTACTTTTAAATGCCAAATTGCGAAAAAAGACAATAAAGGTTTCGTTTACAATTGCTTTATTTCAAAGAGAGAAATAATTTTATATATTTATTGAAAAATTCAATTAATATTTTTATTTAACTAAAATATAAAATAAAATATATATTAAATATTTTAATCAATGCAAAATAAAATTATTTAAAATAATAATATTGGATATCTGATATTACTTATTCTTTACGTGATAAATTAAATATATTAAAATAAATCATTTATTATAAATTAAAAAGCTAACCATAAATCATTATATAAAAAAAGAGATCAATTTATAGTAGAGAGACTATTCCAAAGAGCAATAAGAGAAGGAGAATAAAAATATGATAAAAATAAAATAAAAAAAGAGAAAAAATAAATGGTAGAAATAAAAAAGAAAAAGGATAGGTTAAATTGACGAGGCATAGTTTGGGAAATCTAAATCTATGGTACGGATATTCTTGTCTTGAAAAAATTATTTTTCAACTTATGCTTCTTAAAGAATCTAGAATTTATAACTTCTTCCCAAAAATAAAAAAAATATATTTTTACTGCTACTTAAAGGTACTTTTTCGTCTTGACCAAATACCTCAAATTAAAATATTTTTGGCTTCCCCAAAGCTTGGCCAAACAGGCTCTAATTCTCATCATTGTCGATCATGTCAATGTGTCCCAAAGATGCATCATACATGTAATGACTCGGCCTGTCATTTTATGTATTGTAGCCCTGTTCCCCTATTTATTTCTTCTTCTATATTCATCTGTGGTTGTGTGACTTACCGAGGGTGGTTGGATTGGTTTCGGGGATGTTTTGGAGTGAATTGGGACACTTAATCCCAAGGTTGAAGGCTTAAGTTGAAAGAGTTGATCGGAGTTTGACTTTTGTATAGACGACTCCAGAATGATGTTTTGTTGGTTTCAATAGCTTCGTATGACGATTTTGGACTTAGGCATATGTTCAGATGTTGATTTGGAGGTCCGTAGGTTGATTTGCTGCTTTTTGACGAAAGTTAGAAAAATGAAGGTTGAGAAGTTTGACCGAGAGTTGACTTTGTTGATATCGGGTTTGGATTTTATTTCGGAAGTTGGAAAAGATTTGTGGTGTCATTTGGGACTAGTGTGCAAAATTCGAGATCATTCAGAGTTGATTTGGTATGGTACGACATGAGTTTTAGGAGTTGGAAGTTCATTAGTTTCATTAGGCTTGAATTGGGGTGCGATTCGTGGTTTTGATATTGTTTGACGTGATTTGAGGCTTCAAGCAAGTTCGTATTGTGTTTTAGGACTTGTTGGTATATTTGGATGGGGTTCCGGAGGCCTCGGGTATGATTCGGGTGGTTGGCGGATCATTTTTGGACTTTGAAGGATTGCTGAAGCCTGGGAGCTCTGGTGCAATCGCACCTGCGAGGGATTTGCTGCAGGTGCAACGCCGTAGAAGAGACCATGTGATCTCAAATGCAGGCTTGGTTGGGCTAGAGAAGGGGACGCAAAAGCGGAGGAAGGCTGGCAGAGCTAGGATCACAGATGCGGAAGGGTTCCGCAGGTGCGGACGCGCAGAAGCGGGAATTGGACGCGCAGAAGCGATAGGTTGGAACTTAAGTGAAGTTCGCAGGTGTATAGTTTTGACCGCATAAGCGGAATTTTGGATCGCAGATGCGATTTCACTGGCAGGTTCTTATATTCGAAGGGATTGAGTGTTTTCTCATTTTGGTAGATTTGGAACTCGGCTAAGGGTGATATTTGAGAGACGTTTTGCTACAATTGAAGAGGTAAGTAAAGTTTAATCACTTTTGATGTCAGATATTGATTACTCGTTGACTATTACATGAATTTGAAGTGAAATTTGGGGATTTTAGACTATGTTGTTGGAGAGTGAGATTTGATAATTTGAGGGTCGATTTGTGATTGCAATTGGATTAAATTAGTATTGCTGGACTCATAATTGAATAAATGTTCGAAATTTATAAATTTTGTCGGGTTCTGGGGTTCTGGGGTGCGGGCCCAGGGTTGACTCTGCATATTTGATTCAAGACTTTAGCTTTATCATTTAGAATTATTTCATATGGCTATTATTGATGGTATTAAGTTATTTTGGATAGATTCGAGTCGTTCAGATGTTGATACACGTGTGAAGGGCTTGTTAGAGGAGTGATTTTGTTTGCTTGAGGTAAGTATCTTACCTAAAACTTGGTTGATGCACTAGTTGCCTGAATTATTTGTGATAGCTACGTGCTA